GAGTTGCTGGGTCATGTAACTTTATGATTTTTAACTTAAAAAAATAGGTTTATTTATTTCATTTTATGTCCATGGGCGTTTTGTTGGCATGAATGATTGTGTACCACACACCTGCCTTGTGCTCTCAGCATTCAGAAGAGGGCATCAGATCCACTGGAACTAGAGTTAGAGGCGGTCGTGAACTGCCATGTTGGAGCTGGGAACTGAACTCAGGTCACTGTGCTCTTAACCACTGAGGGTTCTCTCCAGGTCACCTGTCCTTAACTTTTTGAGGACCCTCCACACCATACTATGTCCCCCAGTGGCTGTATTGCCCTTTGTTCCTGCCAGTGGTGCACACGATTTTCCCGTTTCTCCACATTTTGTCAATACTTATCTGACTTTCTGCCCTCTGTAGTCCCAGTGGATACAAGATGGCGTCTTGGGCTGAGCATGGTACTGCACACTTACCATCTCAGCATTCGGGAGGCTGAGGGGAGAAGATGATGAGTTTAAGGCCAGCCTTGCTACACAGTGAGACCCTTCTTCATCAAGCCAAGCCAAACCAAACCAAAAAAAGAAGAAACTATCTCATTATAGTTGTCACTGTGTTTCCCTAAGGATATGGGGCTTTTATTTGTTTGCTTGTTTTTATTTATTGAGACAGAATTTCTCTGCATAACCATCCTGGCTGTCCTGGAACTCTCTCTGTAGACCAGGCTGGCCTTGAACTCACAGATGTCTGACTGCCTCTGCCTCCTAAAGGATTAAAGGTACACCACCACTACCACACACAGCTTTGAATATGTATTTTTAAACTTTTGTGTGTCTGTGTATATGCATGTGAGTGTAGTGCAGAAGAGGGCGATTCCCCTGGAACTGGAGTTACAGGTGGTTGTGAGCTACTAGATGTGGGTGCTAGGTGACAGAACTCAGGTTCTCTGCAAAAATAGGACATGCTCTAACTGCTGAGCTGTCTTTCTGGTCTCTGACATCTTTTAAATTTTTTGAATTACATATATTTATTTATTTAGTCTCTCTCTCTCTCTCTCTCTCTCTCTCTCTCTCTCTCTCTCTGTGTGTGTGCTCACATGTGCATGTGTGCTCATTTTTGAGAATGTGCACCATAATGAACATCTGGAGTTTAGGGGATAACTTTGGAGAGTTGATTCCCCCCTTCCACCATGTGAATGTTGGGGATGGAACTCAGATCATCAAGACGGCAACAAGCTCCTTATCCATCAAGCCTACTTGCTGGCTCCCCAACACCATTTTATTTGCATCTTGGCCATTTACTCATTCTTTCATTACAAGCATTTTTTTCCCTTTTCTTCTCTTTTTCTGTGTTGTAGCACAGGCCAATCTCTGACTTGCTATGGGACTAAGGACAACGTTGAACTTCTGAGTTTCCTGCCTTTCTCTGTTCTGGTGCTAGGAATACAGGCATACATCACAGCCTCCATTTTACGCTGTTCTAGGGGTAGAACCTCTGGCTTTGTGTGTATCAGGCAAGCACTCTACCATTTGGGACTATATACCCAGCCCTTATCACAAGTATTTATTAAGCATTTACTATGGGTGAGACAGTGTTTGAGATTCTGGAATCGCATTGATGGACAGGCCGATGCTGGCACTCCAATGGTGCATGTGTGAACACTTTGGTGTGAGTTCTGTTTCCTTTAACCATCAGTGCTGAACTGCTGAGCCTTTCTCTGCTTTATGTTCCTCATCTGAACAATGGGTACTATCTATGGTTCCTATTGCTGTGATAAAACATCATGACCAAAAGCAACATGGAGAGAAAAAAGTTAATTTCATCTTACAGTTTACAGGCCATCATGAAGGGAAGTCAGGGCAGGAACTCAAGGCAGGAACCTGGAGGCAGGAACTGAAACAGAGATCATGGAAGAGTGGTACTTATTGGCTTGCTCCTCAGATCTTGCTCAGCCTGTTTTCTATTTTCTTTTCCTTCCTTCCTTCCTCCCTCCCTTCCTTCCTTCCTCCCTCCCTCCCTCCCTCCCTCCCTCCCTCCCTCCTTCCCTCCCTCCCTCCCCCTCCTCTCTCTTTCTTCTTTTTTGGTTTATTGGTTTTCAAGACAAGATTTCTCTGTGTAGCTTTGGCTGCCCTGGAACTCACTCTGTAGAGCAGGCTGGCCTTGATCTCACAGAGATCCACTTGTCTCTGCCTCCTAAGTGCTGGGATTAAAGGTGTGAGCCATCACTGCCCGGTCAGCCTGTTTTCTTATAGCACCCAGGACAACCAGCCTAGAGGTGGCACCAATTATGGTGATCTAGGCTTTCTCACACCAATCATTAGTCAAGAAAACGCACCACAGGCTTTCCCACAGGCAAATCTGGTGGGAATATTTTCTCAATTAAATTTCCCTCTTCCTAAATGACTTTAGTTTGTGCCAAATTGACACGAAACTGACCAGCACAGGTTACAACGGATCAACAGAACATTCAGTTATGTTTATCTGGATCCTATTTTCACATCAGCACAATGAATTAGGTCTGATTCTTTGAATCTTGATATGTGAAGGCATAGAAAGAGTAAGTACAGATGTTAACAAGGTGACAGAATAAAGGTGGTCTAGTCTAACAGGAAACAGTAGGATTTAGAAAAGATTGATTATTCTGTATATGCATGCTCTGCCTTGCTGTATATATGTGCACTGTGTGCATGCCTGTTGTTCATAGAAATCAGAAAAGGGCATTGGATCTCCCAGGACTGAAGTTAGGGAAGATTTTAGATGGAATGTGTGTTAGCATTCAGGCAGAGAGAGAGAGAGAGACAGAGAGACAGAGAGAGGGAGAGAGAGAGAGAGAGAGAGAGAGACAGAGACAGAGAGACAAAGAGAGAAAGAGACTGATATGGCCTGGAGAAAAGGGAAGAGAGTGAAAACAGGCCGAATTCCACCTTTTAAAGGAAGGGGCTACTGCCTGCATCCTGAGCATGCACACAAGGGAGAAGTACTCTGTCAAGTCTCCAAGGGGTGGGCCAGGTGTGCCTAAATACACACCTGAATGAGAATTTTGGTAACTCAACCTTGGTCATCTGCAAGAGAAGCAAGTGCTCTCTCTGTCTCTCTCTCTCTTTAAAAAAAGTTATTTATGTATTTATTTGTGTATGTATGTATGTATACAGTGTTCTGCCTACCATGTGAATGCTGGGAATTGAACTTAGGATCTCTGGAAGAGCAGCAAGTGCTCTTAACCTCTCTAATATCTCTCCAGCACCCAAAGTGGGATTCTTAGCATCAAACATTTGGTCTCTTTATTTTCAATTATAATTAATTAAATTAATTAGTGGGGGGCACAGACATGTCCTCTCTATTTGTGATGTGGTTCTCAGGGATCAAACTCAGGTTGCCGACCTTGCAAGCTCCTATGCTTGTGTGTGTGGTGTATGCATGTGCAGTGTGTGTGTGTGTGTGCTTGTGTGTGCGCGCACATGTGCATGCAGAAGCCAGAAGAGGACATCAGATGTCCTTCTGCATCTGCTTTCTGCCTTACTTCCTTCATACGAGATCTCTCACTGAACGTGAAGCTAGATCAGCAGGCAGCAAATCCCAGCAATTTTCCTGTATCTGACCCCTTGCCCCAGCACCGAAGCAATAGACACATGCAACCATATCTGTTTTTTTAAAGCGGTGCTGGAGATTTGAACGCAAGTACTCATGCTTGCCCAGTAAGTGCTTTTACCCACCGAGCCCCCTCTTCAGCCCCTAAAGCTCTCTTTTGGTGCACATCAAGTGACTTGTCCGGCACAGGAAGCACCTAACCATTGGCTCTTCACAGCATTACTCACTGCCTCAGACTCGATCCCTCCATTTCCCCCTCTATTCCCATTTCTTCCCCTGCGTTCCTTTGCCTCACTTGTTCCAACCTCTTTCTGCTGTCTTTATAGTCATTCATTATTCCGTCCATCCATCCATCCATCCATCCATCTCTTCCTTGAGGCATCCTGGGAGCCAGGCTCTATGCCTTGCAATGGTAGGAATACAAGAAGTCAAATTTTAGTTGCCCCTCCCCCACCTTTAGGAACTCCCAGCTTGCAGAAGATAAAGAATATCAAAAAGTCTACCTGATGCATGCACTACAAGGGACGGCCTAGGGAACTGTTAGCCCTGGAGGGTCCACCTTGTGTGTGCGCACGTGTGTGCATGTGTGAACTCCTAAACTGTATCTGCCGAGTAATTATTACATCTGCAAAGACCAGCAAGTTGGAGGGAGCTTGGGTTTAAGAATGAATGTATTTTATGCAATACAATTTGTGTTCTCAGGCTATGTATCACAGGCAATAAAACAACCTGCTCCCACAGATTGAAATAGATAGGTTCTAGTGGGTGGGAGGGTGAGGGTCAGAGAGAGGATGGGATAAAGCTGCAGGATGATCTCTTGGTTCTCAGGAACTGCATGTAGTGTTTTCGGAGTCCTGGTTTTTCCATGCATTTTCAGCCTTTTCAACAAGCTTAGGGTACAAAGGTGCCTTGACATGGCTACAACACTGACTTCTTGGAAAATGGGAAGCCACATAAATTGAGAGCAAAGGTCTCTAGTAGTGGATACTTGGAAGGATGTCAGCCTCTGAGGTGTTGTCTTTCTCCCTTCCCTTTCCTCCTGTCTTCTCTTCTTTCTCCTCCCTCCCCTCTCTGGCAGGAGCTCTGCCAGGTTGGCCTCCGAATTCTGCGTAGCCAGGCGTGACCACGAAGCTCCTGTCCTCCTGCTTCTACTTCTGGCGTGTGCTGGGATTCCAGGCTTGTCCACCACACCTGCCCCGCCCCCTTCTCTTCCTTTAAAAATCATTCTTAATACAGGTGGGAAACAGGTGTGAGGGGTGCAAAGTTTGCCCCGACACCAGTTGTGGACTAGGATTCCAACCTCTTAGTCAACCCAGAGAGAGCGGGAATAGAAATTGGGGGCTGGGGGTGTGCGTCTGAGTAGGGGAGGGTCTTCTCAGAACACAGGGGTTGACAGTCCCTAAGTCTGACAACCCCACCATCCCCATCCCCTCTCCAGGGTTGAAAAGAGGTGTCTGCGTGAAGATCAACCACTTTCCGGAGGACACGGATTACGACCATGACAGCGCGGAGTACCTGCTCCGTACGTGGGCGGGGTGGAGGTGGGGTCGAGGATCCGGGTGGGATAAGGAAGGACAATGTGAGTTCTTGGAAGGAGATGGGCGGTCAGGGGACGGGTCATTGGGAGGAGCTTGAACCTCACTCCTAGATTAGTTTCCCTTCCCAGGCAATCCAGGTCCAGCCCCTCAGCTCCCGGGCCAGAGGGGCAGGCCCAGCGGGGAATCCTGGGTGATGATTGGTCGGTTGGATGTCTATGGCCGGGCAACTTTGTATAGTAAAAGGTTGTAGATTGGCTGCTGAGCTGGGCCTGCAATCTGCCGCCTGGACTGACTACTCCCCTGGGGGAGCATGTACTGCGATTGGGCTGTTATCCTGAGATCGTGGCAGTCTTTATGATGATTGGCTGCTTTAAACAGGCTCAGAAATAACAGAATCTGACTGTCCAGGGTTTTAGGAACGAGAGGGAAAGCACCAGTGGAAAGGTAGAAAGAAAAAAAAAAGAGATAAAGAAGCATAGGATGTACACTCAGAAAGGGAGCGAGGGATGATATATGGAGATACGAACAAGAGAGGGATGAAGACAAGGAGAAAGAAAAGCAGTGGGAGAGAGAAACGTGATAAAGGTGCAGAGAAAAAGGAGGGGAGGTGGGGTGGAAAAACAAAGAAACTTTAAAATCAGGAGGGAAAATGAGATGAAAAAGAAAAGAACCAGAGAAGCAGAATTGGCGAACTAAATTTAGCTAAGTAAAGAGGGAAGCAGGCAGGAGGTGCGGTGGGCCTGGGGCTCAGTGGCCCGCCTGACAGCCCACGCGCTCTCCTCTCGTTCCTTCTCTTTTCTTTCCTTCCCTCAGGAGTGGTCCGGGCCTCCAGCATCTTCCCAATCTTGAGCGCCATCCTGCTGCTGCTCGGGGGCGTGTGCGTAGCTGCCTCCCGCGTCTACAAATCCAAAAGGAACATCATTCTGGGCGCGGGGATCCTGTTCGTGGCAGCAGGTGAGAGGCAGAGAGAAGGGGAGGCGGGCCACCCACGGACGCGTGGGTGTCTGCGTGTGCATGGGCGCAGACGACTGCAAATCCAGCCTGCCCTAAGCGCCCCCTGGGGACTGGAGTTTTCCTAGGCTCCTTTCATGCTGGGTAAGGTAGGTTTAGGTTTAGTTTGTGCCTGCACAGACTGGTGTCTGTGAGTAAAGTGGGAGGCAAGGGGCGGAGTTTCCCTAGCAGTCCTAGAGAACTGAAGGAGGCGTCTGGGATGGAGGAGGGGACCTGAAACACCAGGAGTCTAACGATAGGGAGGTGGAACTGGGGCTGAAGAGGAAGAAATTGACCTGAGTGAATCCTTAAAGGGGCTGGTTCTAAGAAAAACCCTCTAGGCCAGTGTTTCTCAGTGGGTCGCAACCCCTTTGAGAGGTTAGACAATGCTTTCCCAGGAGGTGGTATATCAGATATACTGCATATAGATAATTACATTACGATCCATAACAGTAGCAAAATTACAGTTATGAGGTAGCAACAAAAATAATTGTTTTGCCTGGGGGTGGGTCACAGCATTAGGAAGATGGAGAACCACTGCTCTAGGCCCAGGAAAATGAAACTGAAGGTGCGAAGACCAGGCTTTGCCTGTTTGAGTAAAAAGGCTATTTACTGGAAAATTCAAAAGGAGATAGGTTATGCAGGAAGCTAGACGGAGGCCAGGATGTGAAGTTGGTTACCACATGAGCTAGGGCCTTGGATTGTACATGTGACTGGGCAATAGGATGTAAAAAGGCCCGGGTCCCATCCCAGCCACGTTTAACCCCCCCCCCCCCCCTAGATGTGATGCCTGCCTGCAGTCCAGGGGGATCATGACGAGTTTGAGGACTGCCTAGGCTTTGTGAGAAATCTCAAAATAAAGACTCCCAACCCCAAATAAAACTGGCCTAGGGTAGCAGATGCCAGGATAATGAGCCTTAAGGAGTTCAGACCTGCTCCTTAGTACGATTAGGACTGGAAAGTAGAGTAGAATGGAGAAAAGGCCCCTTCTGCACAGGAATGGAGTTTAGGGTAATGAACATGGGGCTTGCTTTAGATTCCCCCGGATGGTTTAGGCCAATGGGTAACAGGGTATAGATACCCGCCCCCAGACAGACACACACACAGCGTAAAGATTAGATTAATGAACACGGGGCTTGCTTTAGATTGATTCCCCAGGATGGTTTAGAATGGGTAACAGGGTATAGATACCCCCCAGACACAGACACACACACACACACACACACACACACACACACACGGAGATTAGATTAATGAAGGTGGGGCTTGCACCTAGAAGGGAGTTTAAGACATTTAAGTAGGCTGGTATGTGTTGTGGAGAGCAGTGGTCTAGACCTGCACAGGGAGGGTCTGGTTAGGTGTGAGAGAGGTGTGTGGCAAGGTGGAAATACTGACCTACACCTACAGGGCTTGGGGTTTAGAAAACTGGAGGTTGGACCTGGAGTAGGAAGATTTATTATAATTAGGGTGCAGTTATGGCTGGTAAGGCCAGTACTCTAGAGTGCAGGGAGGGTTAGGCCATCAGTGGACAGATTTTAGAGATTTAAAGTGGAATTATGCCATTAGCAACAAAAAAGGAACAGAAGGCGGGAACTGGGGAAAAATCCGGGTTTATACTTTGGACAGGAGCTGCAAACCGCGTCTGGGACTACCTCACCAAGGGTAGATTTGAGACCATTCAGTGTTGGGCCTAGATGTGTGTGTGTGTGTGTATTTAAATCCATGGAGGCTAGATAAGAAGGGGCCAAACCTGAACTACCTGGGGGTGATTAACCTAAACCGTGGGAGGAATCAAGATCATTAGGACAGGGATGGGCCATTCTCAGCCATTGTTAGGACTCTCCAAGGTAAGGTCTGAATCCTCCTGGGGGCAAGGCCTTGACCACATAGGGGTGCAATTTAGACCCATATAGGTAAGGCATATGGAACTGATGACCGGAGAAGGGGCCAGGGCCAAGTAGGAATGGGACCAAGATTGGGGGGTGCGGGGGATGGCGCTAACTCAGAGGGCAGAGGCCAGATCCCCAAGGAAAGTATTTCAGGCCAGTGGGGGAGAGGCTTATAGATTTCTGAAGTGGGGGTTTAGACCAATGAGGATGGGGCTTAGATTCCGGAAGATGGTTTAGGCCAATGGGAACAGAACTTGCATTCCTCTGGTGGGTTTAGATTCTTGAGGAGGTGTTAGCCCTTTTGAGTGATACTTAAACTACTTGGGGGTGAAATTCATACCGATGGCAGTGGGCCTTAGGCTCTTAGGGTGGAATTTAGCCCAGTAATGGTGGGAGTTAAGTGCTTGGGTGTAGTTTAGCGAGCAGGGCTAAGACTGCTGGAGTAGAGTTTAGTCCAGTGGGAACACGGGTGGAATTTAGCTTAGTGGGCTCAGGGCTTAAGACTGCTGGGTGGAATTCAGTCCGATAGAGGTGAATCTTAGACTCTTGGGTGTAAAGCTTAGACCAGTGTGGTGGGTTTAGACTCCTGAGTGGGTTTAGGCCAGTGAAGTGTAGCTTAGACCAGGTGGGCAGGACATAAGTGTTTAACCAAGAGTGGAGTTTAACCAGTTGCAGCCGGGCCTAGACTCCTGGAGTAGTTTTTAGCTCAGTGGGTCTCAGGGTTCATATTCCTGGGGTGGAGCCTAGCCTAGTGGAGGCTCCGGTTTAGACCACAGGGGATTAAGTCGGCCAGAGGGCTGCGGGTCCTCTAGGCTCCCACATGACCGTCTCCATCCAGGCCTGAGCAACATCATCGGGGTGATCGTGTACATATCAGCCAACGCGGGCGAGCCGGGCCCCAAGAGGGACGAGGAGAAGAAAAACCACTACTCGTACGGCTGGTCCTTCTACTTCGGCGGGCTGTCCTTCATCCTAGCCGAGGTGATCGGCGTGCTGGCCGTCAACATCTACATCGAGCGCAGCCGCGAGGCGCACTGCCAATCTCGCTCGGACCTGCTCAAGGCCGGCGGCGGCGCGGGCGGCAGTGGCGGGAGCGGCCCCTCGGCCATCCTCCGTCTGCCCAGTTACCGCTTCCGCTACCGCCGCCGCTCCCGCTCCAGCTCCCGAGGCTCCAGCGAGGCATCGCCGTCGCGGGACGCATCTCCCGGCGGCCCCGGGGGTCCGGGCTTCGCCTCCACGGACATCTCCATGTACACGCTCAGTCGCGACCCGTCTAAGGGCAGCGTGGCTGCGGGGCTGGCGGGCGCCGGGGCCGGCAGCGGCGGCGGCGGCGTGGGCGCTTACGGCGGGGCGGCCGGAGGCACGGGGGGAGGCGGGGCGGGCGCCGAGCGGGACCGCGGGAGCACAGCGGGCTTCCTCACGCTGCACAACGCCTTCCCCAAGGAGGCGGCGTCCGGCGTCACGGTCACGGTCACCGGACCGCCCGCTGCGCCCGCGCCCGCGCCGCCCGCTCCTGCAGCACCCGCGCCCGGGACCCTGTCCAAAGAGGCTGCCGCGTCCAACACCAACACGCTCAACAGGAAAACCACGCCCGTGTAGTGGTGCTCGCCTTCGCGGGGAGCCGGGGGGCGCGTCCGGGGCGCGTGCGCGGGCGCGCGTGCAACGAGGCCGCCGGATCGGGGTGCCCCCCAGCTTTATCCCCGAGAGCGCGCTGGACACCGCTGGACCTTCCAGCCCCTCCCCGCGCCCCTCCACACCCCCTACCCCCGTCACGCTCTGATGCAGGGACCCTTGGGGAGGGGGACGGGACAGGAAAAGGGGCTCAGGCGTGGGAGCGCTGTGTTTTATTTTTGTGTGGGGGCAATTTTAAGGGAGGTGGGAGGGCCGTGGTGTTTTTTGCAGTTTTGAGATGTTTTCTTTTTAAATGTTTTGCTGTGTGCATGTGGGGGCGGGGCGGGGGGAGGGAAGGGAGGGACTCCCAGCCCAGCCCAGCCCAACTCCTGGAGAGGGGCTCATAAGACATGAATATAGAGTTACAACTACAACTATATATACACATGTTCTGTATAAAGATACAGGCCCGCAGAAGGCAAAGGCCAAGGGAGGGGTGCGCTGACATTTAGCTCACTTTTTCATTCATCTTTTGACAAGGGCTTATTAAGCACCTACTGTGTACCAGGTAATGGGTACAGAAGGCGGTGCTAAGGAGGAAGGGACATAAACGCAGGCGCATCCATTCATCCATTTCTGGAAATTCTATGTGTGTTTGCATAACCGCTAGGCATTGTGCACGAGGTAAAATAGGGTCCCTGGCGTTCCTCAGAGAGTGTGCATCTTGTACACGAGACGGTCATTAATCACAGAATCATGTACCTACCCAGTAAATGACACTTAGAAATGTAGAGGCCCCTTGGGGCTGTGTTTTCCTAATGCAAGCCGTGGGTTACATCTCCAGTACTGCATAAACTAGGTGTAGTGGTGCGCTCCTGTAACTGCAACCCTTGGGAAACGGAAGGTGTGCAAGGTCATCCTGGGCTGTGTGCTGAGACTGAGGCCAGCCTGGACTGCGAGGCTTTTGTGCTTTAAAAAAGGCACACCGGGGATGGGGTGGGGTGAGGGTGAATATGACATGCTGCAGAGTGCTCCAAGTAGGGTGATTAACTCAGATGGGGCACGGGGGTGGGGGAGGTGGAGAGCACAGCCAACTATACTAACAAAGAATGGTGCTAGCTAGTCAGACCTGAGGTGAAGTAACCCAGGCAGAAAATTTAACATACCAAGGCCCTGGGACGAAGCAGCTTCCAGGGTGTACCGGAAGTCTAGTGAGCCTAGCCATGGTTGAGTAAAGGGCCTGGAGACAAACTGGTCCAGGGCTCCTATGTGACGTATTATGAGTTATCAAAAGGGCCACGAAGTGGCTTTGAGCAGGAATAGGGCATAAAGACAGGAACTCGGAGGTAAGAGTTAAGAGGCAGAGGCCCCTTGTGGGAGACAGAATACTCTGCCACAAATGCTGGATCTCAGAAGTGGTGTCTGGTGTTGAGGAGACTCAGAAGGTTGGGGCCATTTTCCATCCACCCATCCATCCATTCATTCATTCATTCAGTCACTGTCCTACTTACTAACTATTAGCATTCTGTGTTGTGTAAGTTTGGATTTGGGAGGTGACAGATCGCTGCTCTGGTTTCAGTGTCAAAAAATGTGCGATACAGACAGGGCAGTGGGTGTCACATTAGGGTCACAATGGTCACCTGAGAACACAGGACAGAGTGACCCACTGTCAAATACGTGCAGGGGGAATGGAGCATCCTAGAGTATGTGATGTCTGGACTTAAAGGACCAGCAGGTGTCTGCTGTGTGCTGATGGAGGTGGAGGCAACTTGGGTGAGAACCCGGGGAAGCAAAACAGCACAATGTGTGGGTGGTGAGGGCGGGAGAAGGTCAGTGACTCAAGCATGCTGCAGTCCAACTGCAGGCAGTAGTGGGGGATCTACAACCCGCACCCGAGCTCCAGAGTTCCAGGCTGAGGGGGCCTGGCAGTCACTCAGCAGGCAGAGAGTGGTTCTTGCTGGTTTCATTTGCTCAGTAAATAATCCCCGAGGTCTGCGCATCAGCCCTGTACTCAGTGTGGGAGAAGGGGAGCGGTAGACTGAGGAAGGAAAGCATAGGGACCGGGTATGACATTTGTGCTTGGGGGCAGGGAGGGCTTCATGAGTGGCACATACCTGTCATCTTAGTACTGGTGAGACGGAGGCAGGAGGACTGTAAATCTGAGGTTGCTCCAGGCTAAGAAGCTGACTCCAGAAAATGCAAAGAGCTGGGAATGTAACTGAACTGGGAGAGTATTTGCTGAACATTCACAAGGTCCTGGGCTCCATCCTCAGCATCATATAAACTAGGTGTGGTAAAACTGTGCTAGTAATCCCTGCATTTGGGAGGTATAACCTGGAGGATCAGAAGTTAAGGCATCCTCAGCTATATAGTGAGACTTAGACCAGCCTGTGTTGAACATGGTTTTTAAATAAGGGAGAGAATTTTGCCTCTGGGGCTCAGATGGAATTAGAAGATGGGGAGGCTGAGTCAGGGTCCTGGGCGCAGATCTGCGAGGGCAGTTCAAGAAGAGATGCTAGGGAATGGAGAGAGGAATATAAATTTAGTGGCACTAGGAGCAGGGATTGGGGAGAGGGCTAGTGTAGGGAGGGTGAGAGACTAGTGTAGAGAGAGGTGAGGTGAAAGAGACAGATGTGGAGACAAATGTGGAGGACATAACTGTTCTGGGGCATGATGGGATCTGTAGTCCAAAGGTCAAGCCTAGAGCAAAAGGGGGGTAGGGAGTGGGCAGGAAAAAGTGAAATAAGGGTGGGTAAGAGGGATGGAGGGCAGAAGAGATCAAGACAGAAGGCAAAGACAAGGTCATCCTGAGAGGGGAGGAATGGGAATGACTGGTAAAAGCTTGGCAATCAAAGATAAGAAGTTGCAAAGACACAAAACAGGAACAGAAAACCAAAACCTCACAGAGGCAAGACAGGTAAGAAGTTCGTGAGGCACGAGGAATGGGCAGTTCCTTGTCTTTTAAGAAATTGATTTTATTTGAACAGGGTATCACTATATAGGACAGACTGGCCTGGAACCCACAGACGCCTGCCTCTACCTCCTGAGTACGGGGATTAAAGGTGTGCTACCATACGCTGCGTGGCTTTTATTTTAATATTAGAGAAATACTGGACTGGAGAGGTGGATCCGTGGTTATGAATGCTTACAGCAAAGCTACAGAGAAACTCTGTCTCAAAAACCAAAAAGAAAAAAGATGCTTACAGCTCTATCAGAGGACTTGAGTTCAGACCCCAGCACCCATATCAAGTGAAGATAACTCAAGACTCGGGGAATCTAACACCTCCTTCTGATTTCCATGGCTACACCTCCTCATACAAGTGTGTGCATACAAGTGTGTGCACAGTCTCTCCCCTCTCTCTCGCATGCACACGGGACATGTGCACAAATCCACATAAAATTAGAAAAAGAGAAATACTTTGTATGCTAGCCCTGGTGGTAGAGACCACAGGAAACTGAGGAAGGAGGATCACTTGCTTAACTTACTGAGTTCAAGACTGGCTTGGTGAGATTGTTTCCAAACAAATAGGAAAGAGAGGGCTGATGATACAGTTCAGTGGTTGAGCCCCTGCCTAGAATCCCCCAGTGAGGAGTTGGAGATGTGACTCACTGATAGAGCCTATCATATGTGAAGAGTTAGAGTCAATCCCTGGAAGGGGGGCAGCTATCTGTCTTAGATTATCTGAAGAGACCTTACATCATGGTAGACAGGCAGCAGAGAGAAGAATGGTTTGGGACCGATAGCCTCCCAAGGCCGACCACGTAACTTCCTTCAGTTCATCCCACCCTCTACTTTCACTACTACCTTCGGGTAAAGCCACCATATGAACTGATGAAGGGGTTAACCCATTGATTGAGCCTTCAGGATCCAATCACTTCCCCAAAGCCTAACAATCTGTAACTGAATTCCTTTTTTTTTTCACAATATGTTTTTTAATTAGGATGTAACTGAATTCTTAATACCCCTCGTGGGATAATTCATATTCAAACTGTAGCAAGTGATAAGTAGACAAGGATCTGCTGTTTTGGGACCTCTCCAAGTGACCTCTCCAAGTGACCTCTCTAAGGTTCATACAGGAAAACGGAGCAGGAGGCTGGGGGTGTGGCTCAGATGGTAGCAAACATGTTTAGAATTCACAGGTGCTGAGTTCAAACCCCAACACTGCATAAACTGCACGGTGGTGCGTGCACGGTGTAAATCCAGCAGTTGGAAGATGGAGGCAGGAGAATCAGAAGTTCAAGGTCATTTCTAGACACGTGAGGAATTTGAAGCTAACTTGGGATGCATGGAGATGCTTTATAAAAAAGAAAAAAGGAAGAAAAGCCAGCGCTGGGTGTGCTGGTGCCCTCCAGAAGTTGAAGTAACAATTGTGAACAGCACATTGAGACTCCATCGACTACAAAAGCTACAGAGGATACGGTAACCCTATGTCAGGGCAGAGCCATTCAAGATAAATTGTTTGAGACGAGGAGTGTGAACAAGGATGAGCAACTTGCACACAAATTCCAAAGCATTGGGAACAAAAGACCGATGAGTCCTTGTAGCCCTGGACAAAAAAAAAAAAAAAAATCCATATTCTGATCCAGCTTTGATGGGAAACACCTGGAGAGCTTTAAGCACAGGCATGCCAGGGTCATAGTTTCGTTTAAACAAAACAATAACAGAATCCTGTCACTGGGCTGGGAATGATTTCACAGTCAAAAAGAGGACTAGGTGGGGGTAGTGCATGCCTGGAGGTGGAAATGAGAAGATCAGGAGTTCAGGGCTGTCCTTGGCTTCAGGAGATTCTCTTTGTCTTCCAAACAAAACCCGAGGGGCTGGGAACGTAGCTCAGTTGGCAGGGTAACTTCTCAGTATACAGCAGACTTTCCTTGTTGTATACATGGCATGGTGGCTCAGGCCTGTAAACCTAGTGTTTGGGAGATAGAGGCAGGGGCATCAAGAGCTCAAGACCAGCTTGGGCTGCATGGGAGCCTGTATCTGAAACAACAAAAAAGTCAAAAGGGGAAGTAAGCATTAGGGGCATGGAATTTTACAGATTCTGTCTACAGGGGTGGTGAACTAGGTCAGGGGGCGGGGGCCGTCAAGCAACTAAGGTTAAAAGAAGAAAGGAATCTGAGTTGAAGTTGAGCCGTTGTACACTGGACAGATTTTAGGTGGGAGCAATCTTTTGGACGTGCCCAGTTGGTGATGCCTCTGGAAATCCAAGTCAGGGTATCAGGTAGCCAGTTGGTTATGAGAGTGGTGAAGAGGTCAGGGCTGGAAATACAAGTCTTAGTAACGTCAAGATCCAGGAGACATTTAATGCCAGAGAATGGGATAACTGTGAGGAGTAATTAGATAGAGTTATGACTCCGCTCTAGAAACTTGGGAACATCCAAGGCATCTCTATGAGAGAGAGAGAGAGAGAGTGGTCTGGGGAAAAGCAGAAAGGCAGACCCTCACAGAGGGCAAAGTTAGTGATGGTGGGGTATGGGGCTCAGTGGTAGAGCACCTGCCTAGAATCCCCCAGTGAGGGGATGGGAGTGTGGTTCAGTGGTAGAGCCCCTGCCTAGAATACCACAGTGAGGGGATGGGAGTGTGGTTCAGTCCCTACCACGCAAGATGGAAGGGAAAGAAGGGTGGAAAGTACATAATGTTTTATGAAGCAAGAAGTCAGCCATCTGTGCCCAGTGCTGCTGAGAGCTGGAAAAAGATATGGAAGACTAGAAGGTTTGTGACGGGGACAGTGGTGACGAGCTCGATAAGAGGTGGCTTTTGTCTGATTTCAGAGATAAAAGCCTCGATCCAGCATTGAAGGGGATGGGGGCGTGAGGGAAGAAGAGGAAAATGAAACCCAAGCAATTATTATTTTGGTATGCAAACCATACAGAGCTGGGTGTAGTGGTTCACATCAATAATCCCAGCACTAAAGAGGCTGAGGCAGGGGAATGACGCAGTTCAAAGCCTGCCTGAGCTTCTGATGGAGACATTTTCTTAGAACAATAACAAAATATTTTAAAGAGGCTCAGTGGGATGGCATAGCAGGGGGCACACTTGCTGACCAGTCTGACCACCTGAGTTTAATCCTTGCCCTGGACCCATAAGCTAGAAGGAAAGAACTGAACCCTGCAAGTTGCTCTCTGCTCCCCCATAACATTCATACCCCTATACCACTCCAATATAAATGTAATAATCTTTTAAAATTTAAAAATAGAGAAGGAGGCCAGGCGGCGGCAGAGTACACCTTTAATCCCAGCACTCAGAAGCATAGGCAGGCGGATCTTTGTAAGTTGGAGGTCAGCTTGGTCTACAGAGTGAGTTGCAGGACAGCGAAACAGTGAAACCCTGTCTTGAAAAACATAAACAAACAAACAAAAAATGAGGGGGGAAGAGAGAAGTAAAATGTACAGACAAAAAGACAGAAAACACACCCCAAATTTCTAGAGCTGTTACAGCAGATGGGCTCAGAAAGATGGGTAGACCCACGGCCCAGGAGTAGTTGGGGGTGGAGACCAGTTCAGTAGCAGGCAGGGAAGAAAGACTTGGGAGAACTTCCCGAATGAGGCTGTGCTGTCTGCTTTCCAGCTCCTGCTGCTGACATTGTGGGGCTGGGAGGCCATCCAGCCCTGAGAGATCCAGTGAAGTCTCCTTCATTCATTCAGAAATGAACATGCACTCAGCACTCAGGAATGTCTTCTGGGGACTTGGGGATGCCAGGCCCTGTCGTTTAAGAGCTGTGTCCACCTTGTCATGGAATGGGAGCTAGGCCAGGTAGAACAGAGACAGGTGTTCTGGTGGACACTGAAGAGGAGCGGGTCACATCTTTCCTCGTCTGGACAGGCAGCTGTGTGTATGCCATCTCATTGCACCAGGCCATTAATTCACCCATACTTCATCCATTCATACTACCCATTGAAGTGTCTCAGGCTTCCTGGGTATCTGACCTTGAGATGGATACCTGAGAGGACCGTGACAGGTTGGGCCAGTCTAAGGCGACAGTCAAACCCACAATCGCCTCCAATGATACAGTTCAGAGCAGGGCCATCAGAGGTGGCATGGGTGTTCCAGGGACCTGGGGACGGCACCTGGGAAAGGAAGGAGTTGGTAAAAGGTGGGTCCCGCCTGGGTGGCACACAGAAGGGCTGAGAGGGAGTGAGGGGTGAAGAATCAGGCCCTGCTGCCATGCAACACGGCTGTCCCCGTCTAGGTGTCTGCCCCCGAGGGAGCTGAAACTGCATGGAAGGTCCCCTGGGGGCACTCAGTCTAATAAATCCATGAGGATAGCTTCTCTGCTTCAAGATGCGTCCCAACCGCCCCATTCCCTGAGCTCTGCCTTTTCTTTTTTCTGGGGGACTGAGGCCTCAACACTGCAACCGATCTATATCCATCAATACCCAGGATTCTGGCCATGATGACCTCTTCCAGACCTTCAGCAAATTCAGTCAACTCTGCTAGAGATACAGGTCCTACCCTTCTTCCTCAGACCCTGGAGTCCCCCTTGCACTCCTGTCACCCTCCCATTCCCAGTCCAGACTCAAGGGTCAGGCCCAAGCCTCTTCCCTCTGACCCAGGACTCCTGACCTCAGCCTCCTCCCTCAGACCCAGGACTTCTGACCCCAGCCTCTTCCCTCAGATCCAGGGACTCCTGGCCCCAGCCTCCTCCCTCAGACCCAGGACTCCTGGCCCCAGCTTCTTGCCTCAGACCCAGGACTCCTGGCCCCAGCCTCCTCCCTCAGACCCAGGACTCCTGGCCCCAGTCTCCTCCCTCAGACCCAGGACTCCTGGCCCCAGCCTCCTCCCTCAGACCCAGGACTCCTGGCCCCAGCCTCCTCCCTCAGACCCAGGACTCCTGGCCCCAGCCTCCTCCCTCAGACCCAGGACTCCTGGCCCCAGCCTCTTCCCTCAGATCTAGGAGTCCAGGTCCACTCTCCTTTCTCAGGCCCAGGAGTGCAGGCCCTAGCCTCCTCCCTCAAACTCAAGAGATCCAGGCTCCAGTCCTCCTCCCTCAGACGCAGGAGTTTGAACCAAGCCCTCCCCCTTCAAACCCAGAAGCCCATACTCAAGCCCTTCTCCCTCAGACTCAGGGGTCCTCGCCCCCCCCCCCCCCCTTCAATCCTTCAATCCTCCTCCCTAGCCTCTGGCTCTTAGAACCCTGCAATTCAGCTAGCGAGTTTCCAGCCCAGTCTGCTCAGGACAGAAACACAAGTTCTCAGTCCTTCATTGGCTCTTTGCTTCCAGATTTTGGAGTTTGGACTTTGCAGCCCGGCCTCCGGACCCTTGGGGAAACAAAATTCCCTAGGTTCTGCCTGTTGAATACCCGGCCCCCAGCCCCTCCTTCCTAGAGGCCTCTCTCCCCCGCCCCTTGTCCCCTTAAAATACCCGGGATCCCTATGGCAACAGGCACCCGCGACAGGTGCGGGTGTTATTTACGGGTCGAGCCCGAAATAGCCCATGGTGTGAGGGGGTGGGCGGATGGGGCGAGGCCCGGAGCGAGCACAGCGGGTCCGGAGGGCCGAGCGGGCGGAGGCGAGCAAAACCGGACGCTTCGGAGGCATCGCGGAGCTGGGGCCGGCGCAGCGCGGAGGCAGGAGAGCGCGAGGGGCCCGGACCCGGGAGACCCGGGTGGGAAGACCGAGAGGGACGCGGGACCCCGAGCTGAGACTGGAGCGATCCCGGCCGGGCCGGCCCTGGGAGCCAGGGGGAGGGGGAGCCGAGTGACTAGACGGACTCACTGTGTCCCTTCCCAGGTCCTGTGCCTCCAGGGTACTTTGCTCTGGTTTTCTGAGCCACAGTGTGGACCACAGTGCCTTGATCTGAGCCCTGTCGGGACCCCAGGTCTTTCTCCTGGGCCCTTAAAGAGTCCCCAAGACTCTTTTTCTGGATATCACATAGATTCTCAGCCACTGTTGAGACCTGGGCTCTTTTCTGTGTAGTTCCTGACTCACCCATCCCCTTTCCCCAGAATTCCATAAGAGTTTACCCGGATCTGTTGTGAATATTGGAGGATACTCCTTGCCTCTTTGAGACTTGGAGTGGTTTCAATTCTTCCCTGGGGAACCACAATTCTTCCTCTTGTATAATCTAAAGGTGTTGTGATTCCTCCCTTTACAAACTCTGAGCCCGAAGAACTCTAGACTATCTCAAACACACGAAACACCTCAGCTTCTCTCTCTGAGAAAATTCTGAGGCTTACTGGAGACCCCATCAGCAGCCTGCAGAGACTAGGCAGGTCTTCCAGGGTAGGTGGACCTCAGAGGAGCCTGGCTTTTCTTCTAGGCCTCTCCTGTGCCAAATTCATGTGCACAAGCCCGGGTGGTGTCTGTTTAAACCCACCAGGTATGCTTAGGCCAAGAATATAGCTTATTTGCTTGTTTGCTTTTGCTTATTTTTCCTCTCCGGAGAGGCAGAGGCTTCCTCTTGCATTCAGGGTTCAGCTTTTGCTTATTCCCAATCTAGTTGACACTGAGCACCCCACTTCCTTGAAAAGCCCAGGCCCTGCTCCCTGCTCCTCAGGGCCCCCTGCACAGCTCTGTCTGACTCTTCGGAGCTCGCCTGAGCTCTGCCCACTCCCATCATCATGATGATGTGGTCTAACTTCTTCATGCAAGAGGAGGACCGCCGTCGAGCAGCTGTGGGACGGCGTCGTGCCCAGGGACAGCAGAATCTTGGCTTGACTCCGGAGCTCGAGGGCAAGATCAAGCTAGTGTTGCTGTTGGCTGCCGTGGGTGCTACCCTGGCTGTGCTGTCGGTGGGCACCGAGTTCTGGGTGGAATTTAATACATACAAGACCAACGGCAGCGCCGTCTGTGAGGCTGCCCATATGGGGCTGTGGAAGGTATGCATCAAGCGACTGTGGCAGGCGGACGTGCCCGCGAGCAGGGAGACCTGTGGCCCGGCTGAGCTGCCAGGAGGTGAGAGGCTGTGTCCTGAGCCTGTGTCCCACAGTCAGGGAGAAAGAAGCTTATGTCTGGGAAAACTTTGTTCCAGGAGAAAAAAAAAAGTCTTATCCCTGAAAGTTTGTGACTAGATCAACCTGTGCTCACAGAAACTGGAGAGAAAGGGGGTGTGGGGAGAGAAGTGCAGACCTAGCTCATGTCCCCAAGCAACATATCCCCTCAAGTAATTTGTTCCTTTTATAAAAAAATTTTTTAATTTATTTTTTTAAAAAAACATTCTTTTCTCATTTTACATACCAATCCCAGTCCCCCCCCCCTGCCTTCTGCTCTCTCCATCCACTCCCCATTCACTCCTCAGAGAGGGTAAGGCTTCCTATGAAGTCAACAAAGTCTAGTAGAGCTTTGAGGCAGGACCAAGTCCCTCCAAGCTATATCTAGACTCCTGGTCCCACTGCCAGCGTCCCCATATTCAGAGGGCCTAGTTTGGTTCTATGCTGGACCCCCCCCCCCCCCCTCCGTAGTCAGTCTGGAGTCAGTGAGCTCGCATTAGCTCAGGTAAGCTGAAGAAACTTGTTTCTTAAAGTTTGTCTTCTAGCTATGTCCTGTGCCCCAGACCAGCCTGTACCCCTAGAGACAGCCTGTGCCTTCAGACCCAGCTGGTACCCTCAGAACAGCCTGTAACCACCCCCGCCAACCGTATCCCCTAGAACTGCCTGCATTCCCCATCAGACAGCCATGCACCCACAGACAGCCTGTGCCCTTAACTAGAAGCCTGGAGACATCCCACATCCCCACTCTGTGAGGCTCTGTGGAGACAGACCACCCTACGCCCACCCGGAAGTCATAAAATCTGTGCCGATTCCCTGTTTGTGGATACAATCAAACGAAGTTCTTGCCCGGTACCTCTTACAATCCTGGGTGCACATTGTCTCTCTTGAGAATCGTTTATACCAGCCTCTCTCACCCCTGTGTCATCAGAACGTACATTCCCACCCTTCTCCCTTGCTCTGTAGGCACCCACACCCTTCGTTTCCCCACATGGTAGTTCCTTTGCTTTCAGCTGTGCCAGAGGGCTATCCTGTACTTCTCACTTTCTGACAGAACACGCTATGCCCTTTTCTTAGACAAGTGGGACATTCTATACCACCCCGGGAACTGGATGGTGTTTATTTTACCTCTTTTAACTCAAGGACAGTATTTGATACCCATTAAAAACCACGTTGGATATCACTTGTGTGATGAGATCTCTGCGGTGCTGCTCTCCAGTGTGGACCCGATAGCCTCAGGACCCCTGATGGAATACCCTTTCACCCCTTCTGGGCTCTGGTTGGATTTCCCTTCATTCTTAACCACTACTTTTCCAGATGTGGTATGGAACCCGAAATACAATGTTCTAAGCCTTTGAAGTGGGAAGTCACTGTTTGTGGCTTGAACTACCTGTCTGTCCTGATCAGCTATTTTAATTCCTGTGCTTCTCACTGCTTGGGACCTCAGTCAAGATGATCCAAAATGGGATAGTGAAAAAGAATATGGGATGCTAGCTGGGCCCTGTGGTGCAATTCTGTAGTCATAGGTACTCAGGAGGAATGAGAGCTCAAGGGCAGCCTGGGATACAGATGGAGTTGAAAGTCAGCCTGAGCAACTTTGTGAGATCCTCTCTAAAAAAGCGAAAAGAGGACTGGAGGCATGTCTCAGCGGTAGAACACTTGCCTAGAGTCCCCCAGTGAGGGGCTGGGTGTGTGGCTCAGAGATAGAATACCTGCTTAGAATCTCCCACGAAGGAGCTGGGAGTATGACTTAGTGGTAGAGCACCTGCCTAGAGTCTCCCAGAGAGGAACTGGAGCATAGCTCACTGATGAGCTTCACAATACTTGTTCTAGAGGGGAGAAAAATAAGGAGCAAGAACTCTTAGTGTCCAGTCTGTGCCTCAGGCTAGTTCTGTGGTTTGACTTTCAGATGTCTCGGTTCCTAAGAGCTATGTTTTGTTGCTGTAACTAGAACTTAAGGTCTCAGAGACCCTCATTCTTTGGGAGAGAAGATTGCCTGCTGCCACTTCACCCTGTATGATGAGGTCCTTCACACCTCTTGCTGTTTCCTCTGCTTGTCAGAAAGGACTTCACCGCTGAGCATGGCAACACACACCAGTACTGAGTAGGCAGAAGCAGGAAGACCAGGAATTCAAAGCCAGCTTGGCTACATAGTGAGTTGTAGGTCAGCCTAGGCTACATAACACCTTGTGCCGAAAACAAAACAAAACAAAAAAAGAGGACTTCACCTTTCTTACAAGGCCATTCCCAAAATACCACAATTCTGTTCATCAGAGGACCTCTCTTAGATCCCACTGTCTCAAAGAAATAACTTCATTTGAAAATTAAAAGAAAGCCATTGCATGTCCCTTGGCTATCCTATCAGAGAGTGACTCACTCTGTTGCTTCCTAAGTGAGTTTGCCCTGTCCTCTGTGGGACACGGACACAAAGTCCTGTTATCAGCAGCCAAATGGAATGCCAGATACCACACCCAGTCCCAGAAGGAACTCTACTTTCTCATGGGTCTAGAATGTATCCTCTACCAGTGTCCACAAAGAGCATCTTCCTTGCCTGGAGACTGCAACCCGACTTCCCCAAGCTGATATCTGGCGTGCCCCTACTCTCACTTGATGTGGATTTATCCCCTTGTCCCTTCATCTCTCCCCCTTCAATTGGTAAAGTTCCATTTCCACTTCTCCAAATTGTCTGGCTCCCTTTTCAATGCTCTCAACCCCTCGTTATTCTGCACACTCCCTTTTGTTCTGTGCCTCGGTTTCCTCGTGTGTAGAAGAACAGTAGGTCGGAGAGTAGGATGCATTTTAGGAACCAGGGTGTGATTTAGTTGGCGTACTGTTTGCCTAGCATGCACAAAGCCCCAAGTTTGATCCTCAGCATCACATAAACCAGGCACGGTGCCACATGCCTGTAGTCCTAGCATTTGGGAGGCGGAGGCAGCAGGGTCAGAAGTTCAAAGCCATCTTCTGCTTTGCAGCAGGTTTAAGGTCAGCTTAGGATACATGAAACCCTAGCATGTTAGAACATCCTGTTTTTAACTTTAAACTTTCTCATATTTAAATTAACAACAGCATTGAGTGAATTTTGCATATGTTTACATAAAATGTTTACACAAAAATTATTGTCTGCTTTCAGAAGGTTCTCATGCTATGTCTTAATTTTTTTTTCTTTTTAGAGGCAATGTCTCACATGGGCCAGTCTGACACCACATCTGCATATTTTAAAATTTATTCCCCACGCTGTACATGGTGGTACATACCTTTAGTCCCAGCACTCGGGAAGCAGAGGCTGGAGGATCTTTCTGTCTCTATAGTAAATTCCAGGATAGCCAGAGCTACACAGGGAGACCCGTCACCAAAAAAATCTTTCTTAATTCAATTCTCTAATGTGTTTGGCATTGTAGCCATACACACATGTTTTGACTTGGAAAAAAAGTAGAATTTGAGTTTATATATGTGTGTGTTTTGGTTTGAAGAAATTGTATTATGTGGCTTTGTATTGATTTCAATGTAATTTTTCTTAACACTGATTTCCAAATCTCTCTCACTTGCTTTATTTTTTTTTTAGTTCATCATGATTCTGTTATAAAGCTGTCCACGAGAGCATCTATCTCAACTATCTATCGCCTGAGAGATGGACACTAGATTATTTCCTCCTCCATTTTAGTAAGCGATGCCACAGAGAACAATCATAACTATATACCCATATGTGGTATTTTTCCTTCTTGGAATATACAGAAGTGAAATTATTGTGTTATAGGGCAAAGACCTATAAATACGCGTCACTTAGTAGCAGAGATGTATTCTGAGAAACACACGTTTTAGCTGATTCATGTTGGAGAACACCAAAGCATGTACTCGTGTAGATTAGGGTGGCTTCTATGTGACAAAATCATGACTTTGTTTACTTTTACTTTTAACATGTGTGTATATGTGGGGGGCAATGTGTACCTGTGTGCGAAGGCTCAGAAAGGTCCACCGAGCCCAGAAAAGGGCATTGGATGTCCAGTGCTTGAGTTGCTGTTTTAAGCTGCCTGATGAAGGTACCAGGACCCCCACTCAGGTCCTCAGCAGGGATGGGATATGTTCTTAACCACTGAGCCATCTCTCTAGCTGCGAGGTGAAGTACTCATTGTCCCTTAGTCACACACCTGGCCTATTACTGACTGCTGTACACCTGCACTTCACGCTTTAATATGTCAGAGTCCTTCGCATACAGACTAGTGCCGGTTTACCCTCCCAGCTGCTTCCCCTTCTCCCCCCAATGCTTCACACTGCCCTTTCAATATTTTCCCAACTAATTGATCTGAAGTGCTTCCTCCCTGCTGGTTCAAGTCGCATTTCTCTGCCTCCCGCTGCAGCAGTCTCTCTTCATGTACTTGTGAACTCTCCAGATTTGCCCGCCTGTGAATCACTATTCATATCCTTTACCCGTGTTTCAATGGGGTAACTTCTCTTCCCCCTTGCTAATCGGCAGGAGCTCTTTGTGTAGGCAGCATAGGAGAGAGGACTCTTTCCCGAGTCCCTTAACCTCCTGGTACCTGCATCTTGCTGTCCTTTGTTGAATGAAATGAAAGCTCGTTTCTAATCCACTTGCTCCTCGGACTCACATGAAGGACCTGGGAGGAGAGATTGTCAACTCATTTAAAGAGGAATAGAATCTGAGAGTCCAGAGAGGTGGATGGTTCGCTGTGCCAAAGGCTTAGGCCATAGGTCTTGGGGTTAAAAACGCATTCCCCAGACATCAGTGATGTGGAAAGTGATATTTACATCTCAGTGTTGTCCATCTCGGTGCATTTATTTATTTATTCTGCTCCCCCAACAGTGTATTTGTGTGTGTGTGTGTGTGTGTGTGTGTGTGTGCGCGCGCGCGCGCGCGTGCGGGCGCGCGCGCGCAGAGTCACCTCTCTCCTTCTAGTGTGTGGATTCCAAGAATTGAACTCAGTTCCTCAGGCTTAGCACAAGCACCTTCATATGCTGCACAGTCTTGCCAGTCTGATTTTTCTCCGCTGTGTGTCAGTCATCCTAATATTCTATTTTTAGCTCCCTGTAAGTGTCTGGGTAGTGTCCAGCCTTGAGCTTACAAAGAACTTCATGTCATCACCTCCTCTTTTTCTTTCCTGAACCCCACAGAAGCAAACTGCACCTACTTCAAATTCTTCACCACAGGGGAAAATGCACGCATCTTCCAGCGAACCACCAAGAAAGGTGAGGATATCTCATATTGCGACAAGGGATGGGGGAGGGTAGGATGACAGCTCTGAAGGAGTGAGTGACAGCGTGGTGCTCGGGATGGGCTCAGATCTGGTACTGTCCCATATTTGGAGGGGAATCGTGGGTTAAAAGTGGGGACAATAGTCAGGCAGTGGTGGCACACACCTTTAATTCCAGCACTCGGGAGGCAGAGGCAGGCGGATCTCTGTGAATTGGAGCCCTGGAGCTCTGGTCTACAGAGCGAGTTCCAGGACAGCCAGTACTGTTACACTGAGAAACCATGTCTCAAAAAAAAAAAAAAAAAAGAGTGGGGGCAGTGATCACCAGACCTTGTGTCCAGCATTCTGACCACTGCTCAGCCTGTACCATGTGGCTTGGACAAATTATACTTTCTTTCTGTATTGAACATTACAAACATTTTAAGGACACTGTACAAACTAAGCTCAGCACTCATGGTTTGTTAGCACTAACTCTAGTTCTTACGATAACCCTACAGTTTGGAACTTTAGCTTCATAGCTTCATCACCCAAGTGAGAAAACAAATCAGAAATGGTTGAGCGTATTACTATCCATTTCCACAAAAGGGCAGGGATATGATCCCAATCCTCCCCCAGAATCTGAATCTACAGAATCGTATGTGAAAAATGAAAATGTTGAGCATGTTCTTTGGTCCATATAATGGCTTCTAGCCCCATGGGAGTGCCAAGTGCTCAGAAGGTGGCTGGTGTAATGGGGAAATGAATTTTTAATTTTAACTTCAGTGAATTTAAAATGGAATGTGTCTCTGGTAGCTACCATTATACCAAACAATCAGACTCGGAGAATTTTGTCCTTTCTACCCTAAATCTAGCTTTTTGAACATCGCTCCAATGCCCAAGTGTCTTCATAGAGGAACTGGGATCACTTCATGTTTCTCGCTGTTTGTTTGTTTTTTTTAAATGAGAATTTAATGCAGCTAAACTCTTATGAGACCTGGTGCATACAAGGGTCCCTTACCTTCTCCATTCATTTCTTGTGTGACCTGAGTCAAATCTCTGTGCCCCTCTGAGATGGTAAAATCACCTAGTGCACTGGTCTGGACCACCTCCTATGGTGCCAAGCAGTACACTGAGCACTTCCTGTGACTTCTGATCCTGATTTTCCAGAGCTGAAGACTAAGGGCAGTGTAGGACTTTACCAGAATTTTCCAGCTGGGGGGGTAGTTGGGGAAAATTACAACCTGGGTGATTACAAGATAATGAATCATCTTTACCACTGTCTCCTACATCCTGTTCCCTCTACTTCATTATCTGTTGACCCAGTGGTGACCAAAGGACAAGTTGCAGGTGGTCATTCCAGTATCCCTTACCTGACCTTGTCCCCCTTTTGCTCTCTACCCTGAGCCAAGTAACTAACAGACATACCTGAGTCTCCCTTCTTTCAACAGTGTAAATAACACACTCTCAGGAGGACTTTGAAGTCCTCCGTCCTTCTGGTTGTGCTTCTTGTGGAGGAGTGCTGTCCGTGTTCCTGTTCCCATGTTCTCTGCCTCTTACTTGGCCCCTCCTTGCAGAAGTAAACCTGGCAGCTGCTGTGATAGCTGTACTGAGCCTGACAGCCATGGCCTTGGGCTGCCTCTGTGTCATCATGGTGCTCAGCAAAGGTGCAGAGTTCCTGCTCCGCTTGGGAGCCGTCTGCTTTGGCCTCTCAGGTGAGGGCTGAGTGTGTGGAGGCTAAGGACACTGCATGCTAGGAAGTGAGGTCTCTACACGCTGCTGCATGCTGGGAGGTGGAAACTGTATCCAGTTGCATGCTAAAGGTGGATCTCTACACGCTGTTGCTCTGGGTGTTTGGATCTCTACCAACTCTTGCATGCTGGAAGTTAGTATCTCCACTCACATTTGAGTGCTGAGCGCTCCACACAATGTTGCATGCTGGGAAGTAGAATCTACATGTCCAGCTGCATGTTGGGAGTAAAGAGAAACCCAAGAGCTCTAGTATACTCAAAGATGGAAGAATTCCAAGGACTCTTACTGGAAAGGTTTATTTAGATTTAAATGCTGCTTTCCATTTGGAGCTGGGAGGGCCAAGAATCTCTGTACACTGAGAATGAGGTCTGCGCTCGCTGCTCCATGCTGGATGCAGAGGAGGGGTCTGTCCAAAGGCTGTAGTAGGCTCAAAGATGGAAGAATTCCAAATTCAGTTGTCGGCAGAGGGGTGGAATGTTTCTAAATAATACTATTTTGGGTTTGGACATGGGGTCTCCAATGACTGATACCAAAGGGAGGGGTAAATCTTCAGGCACGATTGCTTGCCAGGAGTTGGAGTGAGTTTATGTAAAATATAAAATCCAGGAACTTTCTAAATCCTGTTGTTGCATGACAATTGAATGCTCTCCAACCACTCTTTTAGATCTGGCTTGCAATCTCCAACACTGTTGTATAATTGTGTAATTGGAGGAAGAGGCAGGTCTGTGAGCAGTGTTGCATGCTGGGTGGTCAAAGAAGCTCAGGAGCTGAGTAGGTCCAAAGATGAGAGAGTCTCAAGCCATTGAGAAGGTTTCCAAAACAGTCTTTGAGTTTTGAACTTTGAGTCTGCAGGGACTGTATTGTATTCTTTTTTTTTTTTTAAAGATTTATTTATTTAATGTGTATGAGTGCTCTGTCTTCATGAATACCAGAAGAGTCAACCAGATTCCATTACAGTTATAGTTATGAACCACCATGTGGCTAATGGGAATTGAATTCAGATCCTTTGGAAGAGCAGCTGGTGCTCTTAACCACTAAGCCATCTCTCCAGCCTCATGTGCTATATTCTTTTTTTTTCTCCATTCCTGGAGGCACTGCAATACCAGGTCAATGAGTGGAGTGGATGGAATAAGCTCCTACTCCAACTCCTAACTCCAAAAATCCATTTAATATAGAGAACACATTAGATATTAATTGGATAAGGACAGATATTACACATTATTTTGGCCAAAACACCTAGAAGCGATGTGTGTTATATTTTTGTAGGGGAAGATTCAGAAAAAAAAAGGCCACATCTTGTAAAATGTATACCTCAGTAATAACAAAGACTTCAGTTTGGTTGACATCTACCTCAGAGCTTTACATTGAGTGGACTAGCTAAAGGTTGCTATGGTTTATTTATTTACTTAAAAAATTTTTAGTGCTTTATTTAGCTTTGCTTTAAGTGAGAGTGTCAGATCCCATAGAGCTAAAGTTACAGACAGTTGAGAGCTGCCATGTGGGTGCTGGAAATTGAACCCAGGTCCTCTGGAAGAGCAGCCAGTGCTCTTAACTGCTGAACCATCTGTCCAGTCCCTATTTTTTACTTATTTATTTAATATTTATTTAATATGTATGAAAGCTTGACTTCATGCATGTCTATTCACCATATGTGTGCTTGGTGCCTGAGGAGTCCAGACCCTGGAACTGGAGTTCCAGATGATAGTGAGCTGCCGTGTGAGTGCTGGGAACCCAGCCTGGGTCCTTTGCTTGAGCAGCAAGTGCTCTTAATCATCAAGCCATCTCGCCAGCCCCAAAGGCTATTAGTCTTCATTTTGTTGATAAGAGCACTGAAGTTCAGAAAAGTCAAGTGACCTCTCATAGACACACAGCCCCTAATGGCAGGGGTGGGACTTTTCTCTTTTAAATTTGCTCACAGTTTTACATTCATGCATACGCACACGCATAGATATGATGTGTGACACCTTGTTCGCACCCCCACCCATGCATTCCCTCTTGTCCCTCTCCTGCCGACCCCCTTCTTTACAAGTTCTCCTTCAACTTTCATGGCTTTGTTTTTTGGTGTCCCACTGCATTTAATTAGGGTTGCCTGCATGGGTAGAAGGTCATTTGCTTCACCAAAGTCAACTTACCAGCGGCTACAACATCACTGAGGAATGTATCTCCATTTCCATAACCGATTGTTGATGGACCAGTCTTGCACAGGTCGCCACCCAGAGGCAAGGTTTGATGCTAAGCTTTCTTGGCCTCTTTCACTGAACTGCAAAGGATGAGCTGGTGATAGAGATGGTGGTGATGACAGTAAAAGTGATGATAGTAATGGTGATTACGATGGGGTTAGGGTAGGGATAGAGATCATGGTGGCGATAGGTTGTGGTGATGATAGTGTTGATCCTGGTTGTGACTCTAGAGATGATGGTGGTAGATATTAGTGCGTTTGTGGTGGTTGTGACAGTGCTGGTGTCACTGCATCATTAGTGATAATGGTGATAATGATGGTGGTAGTGATACATGATGTCCTAGTTAAGCTTCCTTCCTTCCTCCCTCCCTCCCTCCCTCCCTCCCTCCCTCCCTTCCTTCCTTCCTTCTGAATGCTGGGATTTAAGGCATGTGCCACCATCTCCTGGTTTCTATAACTGTGATTAGCACCATCACCAAAAGCAACTTGGTTAGAAAAAAGGATTATTTCATCTTATGCTTCCAAGTAATAGTTCATCACTAAGGAAAGTCAGAGCAGGTGCCAAAGCAGGGCAGGAGACAGGAACTGAAGCAGAGGTCATGGAAGAATACTGTTTACTGGCTTGCTACTTTTGGCTTACTCAGTCTGCTTTTTTATATCACTCAGGAATACTGATTTCCATAGTAGATACATTTTAAACTCACCTCAACAGTGAATATTCTTGCCAGCATTTGTTTTCATGTATCAATTACTAGCCTGGAATTTATCATGTAGCCCAGGCCAGCCTTGAATTTGTGGTAATCCTGAGTACTAGGAATAGGCACACAGGATCATTCCTGACTCTCCCTACTTTAAATATTTGGAGGTGCTGGAGAGATGGCTCATTGGTTAAGAGCAATTGGTATTCTTCCACAGGATCCAAGTTTGGTTTCCTGCATTCATGTTAGGCAGATCATAGCTGCATGTAACTCCAACTGCAGAGGATCTGCTGCTCTCTTCTGTCCTCTGTGGATATTGCACTCACATAGTACACACACACACACACACACACACACACACACACACAGAGGCCGCACACCTGCACACACACGCAGACACGCAAAAATACACCTTTAATTTTTTTCTCCCTACCACATATCACTCTGAAATCCTCTTTTTCCTCCTGTATTTGTTTCCGAAGGTGCAATATAACAGCCCCTATCTAGTAGTATCTAATTTGTGTTCTTTTTTTTTTTTTGACAAGAATGCCTAAGGATTGGAGAAAAATCCTATAAAAAGAGCTAGCACGGTATTGTGGTAAATACCTACAAGCCTAACACTCAGGAGACTAAGGCAAGAGAATTGTGAGTTAGAGAACAGCCTGAGTTACATAGCAAGACTCTGTCTCAAACTAAGAAGCAAACAATTCCTTTAAAAAATGATAATGATTTCAACTGGAGCGATGGATCAGTTGTTAAGAACACGGGCAGCTTGTCCAGAGGACCCAGGTTCAATTCCTCACAACCATCAATAACTCCAGTCCCAGGTGATCCTATACGTCTGGGGGCATTTTGTGCACACAGCGCTCAGACAAAAATGCAGGTAAAATACCCATCCACAGATAAGTGTTTGCCAGGTGTGATGGCACATGCCTTTAATTCCAGAACTTGGGAGACAGAAGCAGGAGGATTCTATGAGGTCCAAGCCAACCTGGTCTACAAAGTAAGCTCTGGACAGCTAGAACTACATAGAGAGAGCCTGTCTCAACGTCTACCTCCTAACCCAAATAAAAGTGATTAAGCCAGACATAGTGGAAAATGCTGTAATCCCACTATTTAAACAGTTGAAGGAGAATCTCAGGACCTTCAAAGCCAGCCTGGTATATATAATGACTTCCAGGGTAGCTAGGGCTATAGGAGACCTTGTCTCAAAATGAAGAAATGGGAGGCTAGGGCAACGGTTCAGTCAATAAAATGCTTGCTGCTGCAAGCACGACAACCTGCGTTTAATCTCTAGAACCCGTTAAAAGCAAGGCATCTTTTATACTCTGTTCTTTATAAATCTATAATCCCAACAGAGTGGCAGAGACAGGATGGCTTGCTGGCCAGTGCGTCTAGCCAAACTGTGGGCACTGGGCCAATGAGAAGTCCTGTCTCAAAAAAATAAGGTGTAGGACCTGCAGGATGGCTCAGCGTGCATAAGGACTTGAAACAAGTCTGATGCCCCGAGTTCACTCCCCAAGTCCCACATGGTGGAAGGAGAGAACTGATTTGCACAAGTAATTCTCTGACCTCCACATATGTGTCATGGCGCGCACACACACTCACCAAAATGTAATTTAAAGGTGTTTTTAACGTGAAGTGGGAGCTGGAGGTGTAACTCTGTGGACGAGCACTTGCCTAGCAAGTATAAGGGCCAGGGTTCAATCCCCAGTGCCTCAAAAATAAGGTGGAAAGTAATTGAGAAAGACACATTGCATTGACCTCTGGCCTTCACATATACACACATGGGTAGGCATACACACACACACACACACACACACACACACACAGAGAGAGAGAGAGAGAGAGAGAGAGAGAGAGAGAGAGAGAGAGAGATTTCTCCATGTTAAGCACAGATGTAAAGCTTGCTTCCTGTCCCCTATTGGTGGAATGAGTATGACCGTTGAATGACCGAAAAAAAACATAAGAGGGTCCTTAGTTGATAAAGGAATGAAGGAGGGGTGACAATCTCAAACCTGAACTGGAGTCCCAGAGCTAAGAATTTCACTCTCTACTTTTTATTCATTCATTCATTCACTTATTCCTTATTTTTGTACATTGTTGTTTTGCCTACATGTTTGTCTATGTAAGGATGTCAGATCTTGGAGCTACAGACAGTTGTGAACTACCATGTGGGTGCTGGGAATTGAACTCGGATCCTCTGGAAGACCAGTCAGTGGTCTTCACTACTGAGCCATCTCTCCGGCCCAAATCTCTCTCTGTTCTCCCCCTACAGGCCTGCTGCTCTTGGTCAGCTTGGAGGTGTTCCGGCATTCCGTTAGAGCCCTGCTTCAAGGAGCCAGCCCTGACACTCCCCCAGCTCCACGCCTGACCTATGAGTATTCCTGGTCCCTGGGATGCAGTGTGGGTGCTGGCCTGATTCTGCTGCTGGGGGGAGTCTGTTTCCTGCTGCTCTCCCTGCCTTCCTGGCCGTGGCGGTCACTGTGCCCCAAGCGGGGTGACCCAACCACCTAGAGCCCTAGAGCCCTGGCCTGCTTTCTGCAGGCATCTGCCAAGCCTGCCTCTGTTTCCATCTTTCTCCTCAAGACTTACCATTTCTCTTCTGAGAGACTGTTCTTCCCACTCTGGGGGTCCATTTTACAAAACATCTTGGCCCCTCATTTTCTCTCTGTAAATAACACTTTTGGGGGTGCAGGAGAGATGGCTCAGTAAGTAAAGTACTTGCTGAGCAAGTCATGAGGACTTGGGTTTGGGCTTCCAGAACACACTTTAAAAGCCAAATCAGTGGTACACGTCTGTATTCCCCGGGGTTGGGAAGTTAGAGACTGGGAGAACCATGGCTCTTAGTGGACAGATAGCCTGGCCAATGAATTAGGTCCAGGTTCAGTGAGAGACCCTGTCTCAAGAAATAAGTTGGAAGCCACGGAGGAAGATGTCTGATGCTGAAGTCTGACCCCCTCCCAATGCATCACGCACGTGTGCGTGTGTGTATACACACACACACAGAGAGACACACACACACACACCCTTTCTTGGTAGCTGAATTTGGGTTGCTTGGGGGAGGACGAGAAGAGGCTATGTGCAAACGCGGGCTTCCTGGAGAACCTTCCAGGGGCCTGTTGGGGAGATGGCTATAAGCTGGTGGGAGGGCAGGGGTCCCAGAAGGATTGGGGGGGCCTTCCTTGTCTGAGTCTGTGATGTTTCACTTGAGGGAGAGACGTCCTCTGCCAGCCTGGTGGGGCAGAGAAGAGCCTGGGCCGGGCCTTACTTTACTGTGATCTGATTTGGGATTAAAGGTTTGAAGATGTGACAACTTTGGTTTGGAGCCTGTCTGTGTGGAGCTCACGGATTCTAGGGTGGGGCAAGGAACCCCTGTCCTCTTCATTCATTGGCCACATGCGACTGTCTGTCCTGGAGTCACCAGTTCACATGCCTACACGCGCAGACGAGAACTTGGAGAAGGAAACAGTTCAGAATGCAGACATGGCTACAGTTTGAATCTTGTCCTTCCCCAAAGTGCACGTGCTAGGGACACTCAGCACAACTTTGTTTGGTTATAGTTTCATGTATGTGCGCGGGTGTGTGCATGCGTGTATATTCACTGTGCAAAATGTTGGTTTTTATATGACTTTTTTTAGATTTATTAATTTTTGTTTTATGTGTGAATATTTTGCCTGTGTGTCTGTGCACCTTGTGTATGCTTGGTATCATCAGAGGTAAGAAGAGGGAATCAGAATTCCTGAAATGAGGTACAGATGGTCATGAACCACCATGGGAGTGGGAGTCAAACCTGTGTCCTCTGCAAGAGCCACAAGTTCTTTTAACAGCTAAGACCCCTCCTATGACATTCTGTACAAATACATTTGACTACATCATCATCTGCCCCACCCCCACTCTCCTACCTATTTCCATTTCCCCACTTCTATTTTATATTATTTTTAAAAATTTGAGGCGTAGTCTCACTATGTAGGCCAGGCTGGCCTCAAATTCTCAACACTCCTACCTCTGTCTCTTGAGTACTAGGGTGTCAGGCATGCACTACTGCGTCCACCTCTGACAATGTGTTTGTTGTTTGTTTGCTCTGAGGCAGGAACTTGCTTTGAACTCCTGGCTTGTCTAAAACTCACTATGTTGCCAAGGCTGGCTGCACACTTGCAGTGATTCTCCTGCCTCAGTGCCAGGGTCATAGGTGTGGTTCTGGAGAGCAGGTCTTTACAGAAATAATCACAGCAAAACAAGGTCTCGAGGGTTGGCTCTAATTCAGCCCAACTTGTGAAAAGGGGAGATGGGGACACAGAGACGGAAATTCACAGAGGGAAGGCAGCATGGAGGGACCCAGGAAGAAGGCAGCCATCTGTACCCTGAAGAGGAAGCCCCTTGGTGGATCCCTGCTTCGAGCCTCAGAAGGAAGGAAGCAGGATGCTCAACCTATATTTTATACTTAAAACATAAAGAACCATAAGGCGACAGGTTTGTTGTCCAAGCACCTGGCAAGGATTTGTGACAACATCCCCAGCAGGTGAATCCAGACTTTGGCACCCAAGAATGTGGGTACTTCTAGGATAGAAACTGAGAAAGATGGGGAGGAGGGGACAACAAGACTGCTCTTGTTGGAAGATGAAGGCTCTTGCTGCCAAGGCTGACGACCTGAGTTCGATCCCCAGGACTCACGTGGTGGAAGGCGAGGACCAGCTTCAGAAAGTTGTCCGCTCACTTCCACACGTGCATCATGACATGCGCACATGGGCACACAGATATGCCCTCTGACCTCCACATGTGTACCATGACATGTGCACACACACACACACACACACACACACAGACACACAAATAAAATGTGCAAGCAGAGGCCGAGGAAGTGGCTCGGTAAAGCCTTTGTCATGCAAGTATTAGGATCAGAACCCGTGTGCACACCTTGCTATGGCAGCCCAGGTCTGTAATCCCAGCACTGGGGAGGCAGTCAGAAGGCTCCCAGGTCTTGCTCTTCAGGTAGTCTAGCCTCCTCATGAACCACACACGAGGGGTGCTGCCTCCAAAACTATCTGGCCTGCACACAAGCACGCACACATGGCCCCCCACAAGTGCATGCACATACTATATGCAGGCATCTTTGAGCAACGATGGGTAGAGTTTGGGCAGTATGAGATTCATGAATGGTAACTGCATCTTGTTGGGGACATAGAGGGGACATGGAGACATAAGAATTTTTTCTTTCCTTTTTTTTTTTAAATAAAAGTATCTGTTGTTCTCTAACAATTCAATATATATGAGCATTGCATCTCAGTCAGATCTAGCTCCAATTGTCTCTTCTTGTTCCCACAAGGCACCCCAACACAAAAGCAAGCACTTTCATATCTCCCCCCCCCCCCCCCCCCCCCCCGTAACCTACCAAGTCCAGTTCGAGTGCTTCCTGCTGGAACGTTGAGTGATCTTTCTGCCTTGATCTTGTGCAGGTGACTGCGGCTGCTGTGGTTTACAAGTGCAGGTCCAGAGCGCAGCGTTTGCTCCCCTCCGTCCTCCAGCCCTTAAACCTCTCTCTGCTAGCTCCCTCTTCCAAAACGTTCTCCAAGCCGCCAGGAAACGAGGACCTTGTGTCAGATCTGGAGTCTCTCAGCAAGAAGAGCGCCTTCATCTCTGATGAAGAGCTATCTTTCCCTCCTCACGTACCACTGTGTGCTGGGCACTGGTCCAAGGGTTTTATTATGTGGCGCAAGCCTGCCACACTGCTGTTGATGCCTCAATAGAAACACAACCCATCAGAGAACTTAAGTGTGGCCTGTCTTAAAGCTATACAGCTGCTACGTGAAGGGAGAATGGCAACTCAGGCCTTTCGCAGCACACGCCTATACTACAAAGCATAGAATTATAAGAGAAGCCAGAATAAGTTCAAAACTCAGGCATACTGATTGTGGTGACATGCACCTTTAATCTCAGCACTCAGGAGGCAGAGGCAGGCAGATCTCTGTGATTTCCAGGGCAGCCAGGGCTATTTATGACTCTACCTCCCAAGTGCAGGGATTAAAAGCGTGCACCACCACCACCCACCTATAAAGGTTTATTTTTTATGTATGCAATGTTCTGTCTGCAGGACAGAAGAGGACACCAAATCTCATTACAGATGGTTGTGAGCCACCATGTGGTTGCTGGGAATTGAACTTGGGACCTTTGGAAGAGCAGTCAGTGTTCTTAACTGCTGAACCATCTCTCCAGCCCATAAAAGGAGGCCAGATGTAGTGCTGCATACTTTAATCTCAGCACTTGGGAGGCAGAGGCAAGTGGATCTCTGCGTTTGACACCAGCCTGGTTTACATAATTCTAGACCAGCCAAGGTTATACATAATGAGATCTTATCTCAAAAGCAACCAAAGATAAAAACCAACCAGCCAAACAAAAGCCTTAAAAAAGAAGAGAAAGTACAAGTCCAGGCTGGGCAGTGGTGGCGCACGCCTTTAATCCCAGCACTTGGGAGGCAGAGGCAGGCGGATCTCTGTGAGTTTGAAGCCAGTTTAGTCTACAAGAGCTAGTTCCAGGATAGGCTTTAAAGCCACAGAGAAACCCTGTCTCAAAAAACAAAAACAAAAAACAAACAAAAGTACAAGTCTGTTTTAAGGTGTAGCTCCTCCACATTACTGAAGGAACCTGCCTTTCATGCGCCTTCATTTCACCATCTTGAGGAAAGCTCACGGGCTCAGCACAGCACTGGCTTCCTCCAGCCATTCCAAGAAGTAAATGCGGTAATAATCCCTGCAAAGCTGCTTGGAGGCCTCCTGGCACCAGATCATAGCTGCATCTGTCTTTGCAGTTATTATTGTTTACCAAGCGGCACTTCGCGGCTGGCATGCAGGAGGCAGTGAAGACCGACCCCTGAGGAGCTGACAGTCTGCCCATGGAAACAGATATTAATCCCATCATCATGCTAATGGCCGTGTAATTATAAGCTGAGATAAGTGCTAAGAAAGATCACCAACCACTTCTCTTTATCTTTGATTTTGTGCCTCGCCAGCTCAGGCAATCCCAGAGTGCTGTGTAACCATGGGGCTCTGGGTTAGGGAAATGGTTCTGCCTGATGGAATCTCCACCTAGAGCGAATGCCTGAGCCAGAGATGACATCCAGTGTCTTTTCACCTTCTACCTTATTTCCTGTAAGACAAGGTCTCCCGCTAGTCTGCAAGCTTACTGTTTCAGCTAGACTGCTTGGCCAGCAAGCACCCAAAATTTGCCTGCCTCTCTCTGCTCCCCAACACTAGGGTGAGCACCCTGAACAGACACCGCCCACTTGAGCATGTGACTCGGGCAGGCCTTGCCCTTCTCCGCCTTTCCCTCTGTCTTGCTAAAAACCACTAGATTACATTCCTGAAGCTAGCCCCAAGGTCCATTCCCTAGTTTGGCCACTTCCTCCTCCTGAGCCTGATTACCAAGGCCCAGCTATCTTCCTGTTGAAATCTAGCAATCAAAAGCTCCTTTAGCTCACCCAATTAACATGCCCAATTAAAGTTAGACACCTCATCCTAACATAGGGGCTCCCTTGTAGCTTTATAAACTGCAATTTTCCTATGTGTCATGTCTGTCTCCTATAAAGAGACAGTCCTTTGTCCCTCTGGGACAAAAACTCTTGCTCCATTTCCTTTCTCCTCTTCCCTTGTCCTGTCTCCTGTCCCTTATCCCTGTCCTCTGTCCCTCTGGGGTAAGTGCTGAGAACTTCGCCGTGGGGGTCTTGAGCTTATACTTTTCTTCCACACTCACAGCCATCTGCAGCTTTTAAATGGGTGCCGAGACAGCAAGTGTTCTTACCCACTGCACCATCTCCCCAGGCCCCCAAATCTCCCTTCCTACCTGGGGTCAAGGCAAGGAAGGGACTGCACTGAGCTCTGACAACCAAAGGAGCCTGCGACCTTCCTCCAAGCCTCCCCAGCCACAGCTCCCCTGACGTAGGCAGCTTTTGTTGCTGTGAAGAGATAGTTGGTAACAACAGATGGTCAACTTAAAGCAAGTGTGGTGGTGGACGCCTGTCATCTCTGAACGTGGGAGGTTGAGGCAAGAGGGCCTTCCAAGCTGCGCAGCAAGACCTTGTCTCAGGAAACATGCAGCTTAGCATGCATATTAGAATACACCAGGAGGAGGGTGTGTGTGACTCAGCAGGAGGGTGCTTGCCTAGGATTCACCAGTGAGGGACTGGGAGCATGGCTCAGTGGTGGAGTGCTTACCTAGCTGATGTAAGTCCTTGGGTTCCAGCCTCAGCACCATAAAAATAGATAGAAGATAGATAGATTAATGATAGATAGA